GGGCCCTGCGCCTGCTGCCTCCACTATCTCTCTCCGTCCGTCCGCACGCTCGGGAGGGGCCCTGCCTGAGGAGCGGGCGCAGCACGCGCTTTATCTGCAGGATTGCGTTCGGAGGCCAGGGGAGCCCCTCCCTGTGAAAAGCGACAGCGCACAGGCCCCGGGCTACGCGGTGAATGAACGGTCCAGGCCTGGACGCGTCTGATGGGACCCCTGACTGTGCGCCCTCCTCTGCTCCTGTTTCCACCTCCTTCTGCCACGGTCTGCACCACCCAATAGCCTCCTCAGCCTTAATGCATAATGATTTCTTAACATCTTTTTTCCAAACCCCAACCTGTCTACCTCCTGTTAATTAGCTCATGATTTTTTGAAAAATGAGGACGTGAATTGAAGGGGAGATGGATGCCCGAATAGACGTGTGTGATGGTGATGGGTCTGTAGACCAGCAACACTCGGAGCATTTGAATGACTATCCGGTTGGGCTCAGAGAGGGTCCGCAGGCCTGCCAGGGAGGAGTTAGGGTTGCTGCCCAGGGGATCTCAGAGGTGACAACGCTGGAGGCCAAGAAGTTCCTTGGAGGGACAGTCAAGCAGAGGCTGTCAGCGCTGCTGCTCCTGTGACATGGGGGCACTGAGAAAGACAGGGAAGGAGGAGGATGGTTCAGACAGTATGTGGGCCATCCTGACCCAGGATGAGTAGGGTGAGGTCATTAGGTCATTGGAAGGTAGACATATGCCATTGAACAAAATGTAATTGCATTTTGTTGATTTTGAAGTGATAGTAGGTATGTCTGCAGCAAACTACCCAATCTGGTAGCCGGGCTCCCAAATGCAAGGTGAGCAGAAGACATGTGGCCCAGCTCTCAAGAACCCTAATAACTGGAACAAGGAAACTCGCCAGCGCTGCGAGACTGTAACAGAGGACTGGAAACCAGCCTCTGGGGCCAGGTGGAACCCTGCGCTAGCACCTGAAGAGCAAGTGCAACCACAGGTGGGAAGGGGGTGGGGGGATGGGTGGCAAGCAGAACAGTGAGAGGGCAGAGTCCAGATGAGCTGCAGAGGCGGGCGCAGGATGCACCCGGTACTCCAGCCCCAGGCAGGCTGGTGTGCGGCCAGATGAGGGTGAGTGACGGCAGATAAGGTCCCAGTGAGAGTCCAGGCCGATGGCTCAGGTCCTTGTGGCACTGCTCCCGTGACACTAGGCCTGGAGCTTTGGCAGAAGGCAGAATCTAAAAGGTCTGAGCATCTGCTGAAAGAGTCTGTGCATAATGAAATGGATAGATTCTTTGAGAACAGACACAGACAGTATGAGCTAAACCTGATGTGAGAAAAGAAAGCAAAAGTACAGAGGGCTCCATGACAGAAAATGTACCCTGACCCTGGGCTGGAGACTTGCTAGCTGAGGGGCTTTAGGGGAGCTGTGTCAGCTTTCCATGCCCACTTCCTCGAACACAGTGGTTCTCAACCTGTGGGTCGCGACCCCTTTGGGTGCCGAACGACCCTTTCACAGGGGTCGCCTAAGACCATCGGAATACACATATATAATTACATATTGTTTTTGTGATTAATCACTATGCTTTAATTATGTTCAATTTGTAGCAATGAAATTGGGGGTCACCACAACATGAGGAACTGTACTTTAAAGGGTAGTGGCATTAGGAAGGTTGAGAACCATTGCTCTAACATGTGAGGACAGTACTAGTGCCACTCAGGATCCAACAAGCCAATAGATATCACACATTTGACACAAGTCCTGGCACGTAATATGTATATTTAACTAAGAGAGAAAGAACACGTAGCAAAAGGAGTGAAAGAATAGTGAGACAGAATGTAAGCTATATGAGGACAGAGGGATGTTTTTTCTATTTGGTCCAATGCTGTATCCCCAGTACCTTGAGTAGTGACTGGCACATATTACACCCAATAAATAGTAGGTGAATAAATAAGTGAATAAATGAACAGAATCAGTACAGTTTATCCTAGAATCTAATGAAAGAGAGAATTTCAAAGGTGACCATATGATTATCAAATGTGAGATCCATATTTTTCTGCATTTTACATATATGGTCATGCTTTTTATTACCATGATTCTGGGAGATACTAGAACCTGTTTCTCTTTTATTTGGAGACAAAACAAAGCAACTTATTTGCTCAAATGTATGGACAACTTGATAACACAGATCACATGAATGCAGATGGCCAGTGTCTAGGAAGTAAGAGGAAGTAACTGGCTCTGTTGAGGGGGGTCACGGTGACTTTCAGGAGGGCAGAGTGGAGGGTGAGCCGACACCAGATGGCATGTCTCCCGGGTCGGCTCCAGGATCACTCAGCTCTGTTCTGTCTCCAGCATTGGTAGATAAGGACGGAGGTCTGAGCCACTGTTCTTGGGAAACAAATATCCCTTACTGCCCATCTCTGCAGGCAAGCTGTGGACTCAATGTCAT